ACCCAATGCATTGGAAATGTAGGCTGCTGCCAAACTGCAGAATTCCATGGTCACCGAATTCGTTTATTCGACGAAACTCAGTGAAACGATCGCAAAACCGCGAAATCGGATTCTGCCCATACCGGATCACCTGATTTGATTAGGACGCGTTGATTTTACGCAGCACAGTACTGCTCACGACTTCGGCCTGACCGTCGACCAGACTGATCAATACACTTTTCAATCACAAAGACCATTCAAATGACTCCGGTTAGTGTAAACCAAATAACATGATATTAGATGAAATATGAAGGACGGTATAAGAAGGAAATCATCAAACGAGAACAACCTCTGGAAGTGAGTTTATTAGTGCTATCTCGTGTGCAAGCAAGGTAAAACAACCAAATCAACTGTTGTGCCTAGTATACAAACAGTTTCTTTCCCAGATTCTGCATTTACAACATTACCAACGTGCAGTGCTTGAAACAGGCGTTTCCAACCGTTCGCAGTCTTCAGTTCAGTTTGCTCAACCGCTAAATATGCACATTCGTGCGGCGGTTTTGGTTTGTCTGTTGACAGCCCATTTAAATGAAAGGATAGAAGCAGTCTACATTTCCTTTGCTCCCCTGTGGCATAAACTTCTTTCCATGATCAAAATAAATCCCACACTACTTCCTTCAGAACGCTAAACACGAAATTGTTAAGCTTATTTAACGTGCGCAGTATGCTGGTTGTACTTTTATATTAGTCGGTGTTAACCTGTCATCTCAGATTTCTGAAACGCGAACTGATGGGAATCGTACCTGGGCTTTCAATTGGAGAAAGATGGGGTTGATGGATCGAGGAAAATCGTGAATAAGTGTGTTCCACGTTTAAACCAGAATCCGGTGTGCGATTTAACTGTTCCTGTGATTTCCAGGCCGGTCTTGTAGCCCACGAGGCAGCGACATCCAGGAAAGAACTCTTTCGACGTCTGAACTCAGTGGGACCCAGCTCTTCCGTAGACTTGGTCACCGATGGATTTGAGGGGATGGTGAGATCGTTTTGTAATATGGGTTCAAATCGAGACAAATCTGAGGAAGACCGAGCGGCCGTTGGTGATCGAGGCTCCAAGTGGTATTCGGTTTTCGAACTGATACGTTTCAATTCAATTGTCGCAAGATCTGTTTCAGACACATCGAGTTCCGTTGTGGCATCGGGATGCAACAACTGGGCAACATGGCCGTAATTCATGATGGATTGCCAATCATCCGGTCGAGGATGAAATGCAAAAGCACCAATACTGCAGTGGAAAGTGACAAACAAAAGTTAAGCTGCGTATAGGAAAATAAAGGCATTTTATAAAAGCCAGTGTTTCATTTTTTGGACGCTATTTGTGGAGTTTCAGAATTCAACTAAGTGGATTTGCCAGACTGTGAGATATGGAACAATTCGACGCAACGAATTTTGCCGCACTAAACATTTCCGCTGTCACATTGAACACGTATTCATCGGTCGGGACTTCACAGACTATGTTTCACCATGACTTTACAAACGGAGAGAGAGAGTGATGGACTATTTGATTAACTTCTGCGTGGGGCAGTTTATTGTGAAACGAATTATTATTGCGAATTCGGATACACACGAAATCTGATGCCGAAATACTGATTTATATTTGATGGATAATGGCGTTGTGACGTCCGTAATGACCATATTTCGCTCAACATATCGAGGAATAATTGGGCTTTTCTACGAAGACCAGTCCCGTCCCAAAATAGTTGTTCCAGATGGGCCAGGAAACCTGGCAGAATATGGAAAAGCATAAACTGGTTAAAGTGAAAGTGACGAAGGTGAGGAAAATGGTTTTTTAAATCAAAATTTTAATGAAGAAAGAGGATTCGGATGTATGACCATTTGGATGAACAACTCAGCATGCCAGAGAAAGACACAGAGTGGGAAAAAACATGAATGTTAGAGATGCATATTGGAATTACACCCAAAATCGTGTCACCCCGTTAAGAGCATTGTTCTTTTATAGGAATGATGGAAATGAATGAATGTCAGGAGCGTAGATTCCAATTTATTAGCCGATATGCTCATTCCTCTCGGGGTGAACATCAAAATATATCCCTTTAATGAATTCTGCATTTCATAATAACAAGAGTTAGCCAATTCGGCGAGTGCGGGGATCATCTAGTGGTGTAGATGCAATGTGGCTGTGATAGAATTCGCAAAACAGTTGACTAAACCTTGGTCGATGGCGATAGAATTGGCGTGAATTAAAAAGCATGCTAGAAAAATCAAGTTCATCGTAAAGAGACATAAATTTGTTCAGAAGCTATCGAACAGTGGCTTACCGAGCTATAAAAGAAACATGCGAAGTCACGTCAATTGAGATTGTGATAACCTGAGTACCCTGCTCGGAAGCACCATCCAACTGGATCGTCATCAGCGTGAATGGCGATTGAATCATTCGAGTGCAATCCCAAAGCTGTTCGGGCGGGAAGAGTTTGGTCACTTTGCAAGCTTGATGCCACCAATAATCCGGTGCGGTTATCTGATCCATGACGGACGCAAAAACAGGCGCATCAAATGATAGAGAATAGTCTGGTTTGACTTCCGGAGGAAGATCACATGCTTTGGTCACAGTTTTCAGAAGATCCGGATTTGTGCAGGATAGAGAAATACAGCAATTTAAATACCTGAGAGGGAGGGAGAATGAAGGGTAAATGGTGATGACAGAGATTAACGTGGGAGATAATTTTAAACCACAATTGTGATTAAAAAAACTGACTACTCTCAAATTCGATTGGTAGGCGAAAATAAAATTTAAGCATTTCCAACGGTCACACGCACGTGCAGGGTGAAGGGAAAAGGACCGAAAGACCTCACAGCAACTAAAAGGTTTGCCGATCGCGAACGCCACAGATGAAAAATTTTTGCTTGATATCGTAGCAATCGACTGTGTCCGTGTACATGTGCAAGTACTCTGTTCGATGGTGGCTTTTTGGACTGACAATTAAATAATTGGAAGTCTTTGACTAACCACTTTGTAGCAACCTAACGAGTTGTGGCAAAGTACAATGCATGAGCCAAACAAATCCTCATGCAAGATGAAACGAACGACAAACCAACCACCAATAAAGGTGATTGCTATTAGTGCTCAAATCAGTAAACAGGCTTTGCTAAACTCATTCTCTGTGACTCGAATAAGGATTACAACCTAGCCTAGAATGTTTCATAGGGCACGTTTATACAAACATGAAATGGAGACCCGGCTTCGAGGGGGCTTTCAAACGAAGTTGATGGTGTTGTGTTTGGTCTAAGCGTACGAATGATACGAGCGACTCTTGCTTAACCCTCAACGACAACGCGGAAAGAGAACACAGGTTGAGACCACAGTCAGCGCGTATTCTTCGATAAGTTATCGATATGTCAAAAAAATATAGAACTAATCGTGCATACGAGGACGGCGCACCGACGCACCAATCAGATAGGGTCCTTGACATATCGATTG